ATAACTTATGTGCTTGTAAAAAATGCCAACAATATCTTATATGTAAGAGAGTAGGAGGTGAAAGTGCCTTGCTCTTGCCCCACCCCTTCCCCCCCTAACCCCCACCTCCCAAGCTGACCACTGTTAGAAGCTGGGTGTAATTCTTCCCAGGTGTCTATCATTCATGTGCATTTTACAGCTGTATATATACACAGATGTAGCTTTGGGTACATGGCTGGGATCACATCTGGTTCTGTAACTTGCTTTTTTCACCCAGAGAGCTTATCATATCAATACAGAGAGATCTACCAAGGTTTTTTAAAAAATGGCTTTATGGTAGATCATACTGTAGATATAATATCATTTATTTCACCAAAAGGAATACAAAAATGCATCTAGGCCATCTTCATTTTTTTCCACTATGATAAACATACATCTGTGTGCATGTGGAAGAGTATTTCTGTAAGATGATACTCAGCAGTGGAATTGTCAAGAGCATGCTTACTTAAACTTCTGATAGTTGCTGCCAAGCTGTTCTCCAAATTAGACTGTCCCAATATGCACTGCTCCCGGTAGTGAATGGGGGTCCTACTTCCCCACACCCTAGTCCATGCTGGGTATTACCAACCTTTTTCATTTACTTTTTAAACTCTATTTATTGATTTGAGAGAGAGGAAGGGAGACAGACAGACAGACAGACAGACATTGGTGTGTTCTTCCACTTATTTATGCACTCATTAGTTGATCTTTGTATATGCCCTGACCGGGATCGAACCCAAAACCTTGGTGTATAGGGATGACACTCTAACCAACTGAGCTACAAGGCCAGAACTATTACCAACCTTTTAAAATTTCTCCAGTCTGATGGGTGAAAATCAGCTCTAATTTTTCAAAACTGTCTTTCAAATGAATGTTTATTTCTACATGGGATTTGGAGGTTATGTTTGGAAGGGACCCCTGAGACTTTAAAGGGAAGCTTAGGAATCTCAAATGTGACTGTCAATTGATTCTCCACACCAGAAAGTTCCCTGGAATGTCAGCAACTATCAAACTGCCTTGTCTTTGGAGAGATGAGAGCTGCTCTTTCCATAGTACCTACAGGTTACATTTGGAAGTGGCGTTCGGCATTCATGTGTTAGTATCATTTTTTCCAAGCCCCCTTTTAGGATTAAACCCTGCCTTTCAGCTTAGTTGGGTCCCGTGAGAGTGGTGTGATGGGCTATAAAGTCATAAAACTGGTAGACATCTGCCCTTTCTCTCTGCTCCATTCAACATTGAGAAAGAACCCACTACTTGCCAGGTTCCTCTCTGTAACTAGAGTAACATATAGCGGCAGCACCTCGGGAACAAGGGGCTCATGAGTTTTAGGGAGACAAGGTGGGGAAAAGGCCGGAAGCAACTCTGTGGAGCCATCCCTGGGCCGGGAACACTGTGGCTACTCTTCTCTTGTCTCTTTTCATCTCGGTTCTGGGGTAACAGTCCCTCACTTCCTATTTGCACTTTTCATAATGCTTCCCTGTGAATCATGATCTTGTTGTTTCCCGCCATCCTGTGAGAGTAGATGGTCTGAGTCCTATGTTTTTTTAAATATATACTTTTATTGATTTCAGAGAGGAAGGGAGAGGGAGAGAGAGAGATGGAAACATCAATGATGAGAGAGAATCATCAACTGGCTGCCTCCTGCATGCCCCCTGTAGGGGATCGAGTCCGTAACCCAGGCATGTGCCCCTGACTGGAATCGAACCCAGGACCCTTCAGTCCACAGACCAACGGTCTATCCACTGAGCCAAACCGGCCAGGGCTATTTTATAGTTGGACAAATAGTCACTGGCTATGGCATGGACCCCAGAGAGAACATGGAATCCTTGTTCTCTCAAGTTTATTAGCTGTGAGGCCTTGGACAAGTTACTGCCCTCTCTGTGCCGTCTCCCGCATCTGTAAAATGGGGAGAATAAAGACCTCAAGGGCTGGTTGGGAGCTCCTTATGGAAAGTGCTCCTCAAGGCAGGGCCTGGCACTCAGGAAGCTGTTAGCAGGGCCTCTTGTTTTCACCCAACTTCCCAGATTGACCTGGGAGTTATTTTCATTCTCTGAGCCTCAGATTTGCTCATCCATAAAATGGGATGACAACCCCCTCCTCGAAGATTAATTATGTAAATGCTGTGCCCGGTGCCTTGTCACCCACTGGCCCCATCTGTTTCTCAGGCCTCAGCCTTTCTCATTGTCTGCAGTGCTCAGAGGCATGCTGTCCTAGAACGCTCTGCTCCCAACCACCAGGATGGAATCACAAGACAGCGGAGGGCGCAGGTTAACTGAGGATACTCTGTCTGAGGCTGGCATCGGTCCTATGAGAGCAGTGAGTTTCTCAGAAATACCCCTATTTTTCTTCCTCCCTCTTCCCCACAGCCACTACCTGGAGTCAGGCCCTACACTTCTTCTTCTTTTTTTAAATTAAATATATTTTTATTGATTTCAGAGAGGGAGGGAGAGGGAGAGCGAGATAGAAACATCAATGATGAGAGAGAATCATTGATCGGCTGCCTCCTGCAGGCCCCACACTGGGAATCCAGCCTGCAACCCAGGCATATGCTCTGACTTGGAATCGAACTAGGGACCGCCTGGCTCATAGCTCGATGCTCAACCACTGAGCCACAGTGGCTGGGCAGGCCCTACACTTCTTGCAACAGCCTCTTGCCTGGTCTTCCCCATGGCAGACCCTCATCTTCATCCATCCTACACCCTACTTCTGGAGTTTTTTCCACTCCACATACTGAAGATGGAGTAAACCTTTCAATTCAACTGTTGTTTGTTCAAGTACCCAATTTTTATTAAGCACTTACTCTGCACCCAACACCGTGCTAAATATTTTATAGGCATCATTTCATGTACTCGTTGCAATACAGGTAGATACTTTTATTATGCCCATTATACAGATGAGCAGGGAATTAACTTATCCAAGGTCACATAGCCGATAAGTAGAGGAGTGAGATGTAAACACTAAAATCCTCACCACAACCCTGCATTTTATATTATTTTACTCACTCAAGAACTACCTACTGTGTATCTAGCATGTGCAGGCATAAATCTAGGTCTGGGGACAGGGTGGGGAACAGAATAGACAATAGTGGAGCAAATGGACAGTAAACAGAGCCCTAAATAATAAAAGCATAGTATGCAAATTGTTCCCTCAACTGGAGTTCTTCCAGGAGTTTGACCAGGGAGCCAACAGCCAGGACCCTACCAGTGCATGAATTTTGTGCACTGGGCCTCTAATAAAAATATAACATCAGTAAAGTGCTAAGAAAAACATACCACAACAGGGTAAGGAGATAGAGTATGTTAGAGAGGGGGGTGCCGGGAGGGACCCCTTGAGAACGAGACATCAGAGAGGAAGACGGAATGAATGGAGAGAGGAAACAGAGGTTCCAAGAGGTGATGGGTCTGGCTGAGGTCACCTGGCAAGAACGAACAGCCAGGCGAATGGGAACTCAAACCCGGGGCCACATTTCTTCTCTGTTTCTTGCAGCCTCAGTTCCTCCTGAGAGATTCCTGAGACTTCCAGGAGCTGAGGGGTGAGTTAGAGGCTTCCTCCTGGCTACCTGGGGGCAGAAACATCAAAGTCCTTCTCAAATGGCTTTGTCATGAGTTAAAACAAGATACCAGGCCATCATCTCCTCAGGGGTATGTACCTCCACTCACAAAACATTTCAGCCTTTTTGGTTGAAATGACTGGTTAGACTAAGTTGAATATTGCCTTAAAAAAAAAAAAAGAAAGAAAGAAAGAACAGAACTGATGATTGGATTTTGCTAAGATGACTAAGCTGGCCCCATCCCCAGTCCATGTCAGTCCTGCGGGAAGTCAGAAGTCAAGGAAAATGTGTCCTCTTGCCAAATGACTGACCCTCCAGCCCAGCCCCAGAAGTCTCAGAGAGCAGAGAAGTAGGAAGCCATGTCAAATCACAAATCACAAAGATTTCTCTCCATGACAAATCCTGGGAATCTGGTGGTGATGTGAGGGGTGGGAGGGGGTGTTTCAAATTTCACAAACATTTAATGATTGTTCAGGCCCAGTGGTAGGTATTTCCATATCGTGTTTCATTTTGTTCTCATTAATAACCCAGTGAAGTAGGCACTAACATCCCCATTTTACAGATGAGGAAACTGTGGCTCAGAGAAATGCCATCCAGCCCAAGTGAGCAGCAGGCCTGTCTAATTCTCAAGCCCACGCCTTTTTCTCTCTCACACATTATCTCCCTTCTGTTTTCCAGCTCCCAGCTCAGTCATCTCCCCAACCCCCAACTCTGCAAGAAAGATGTTATTATCCTTATTGTATAGGTGGGTCATGTGACTGCATTGGTGAAGTTGTCCCATTTTACAGATGATGCTACTGAGGCAGAGGAAGGTGAAGTATTGGAATTTGAACTCAGACCCACTGACTTGCCTCTACCCCCCAGCAGCCCCAGGGAAGACAGTTGGAGTGGGATGAGCAGAAACAATTGGGAATATCAAACTCTGCCTGTTGCTTCAGCTGGTTAAAACTTCTTTACATTTGCACCGCAGAATCGAAAACTTTTCCTGCAGGAAAAGGTGCTTGTCTTGGGGTCAGACCGAATGTCCTCTGTGAGCTGAACTTCTCTGCTGTCGCTTAAACCCGCCCCAGGCTGATCTGAGTCAAGAGAGGCCCCTTCCTCCTTTCCTGGCGGGCACCAGCCTCCGCCTTGCTGTTCCCTCGGATTTTTATTCCCTGGGCGAAGCAATGGAGCTCTTAATTAAATTCTCTTGTTAGAAGTCAAGCTTAAGGAAAACAAACAGAAAAAACCTCTCCTGTGGGACCGGTTTCTTTCCAGCTCGCTGGGAAGCTTGATGCTGGAGATAGTATCCCTGGCCGACCTCCGACATCCATCCCTCACTGCTCCGGGGAATTTCCTGTTGGCACCTTCCTTGGCTCAGTCCCACCCTGCTGGAGCAGAGGAAATTGTGACGGGAGGTGTGGGGATGTTATCAGAAGTTTCAGTGTGTGGTGTGAGTCTCTGGGCTCCAATGCAAGGGGCTTGGGGGGAAGGAAGGAGGGGAGATTTCAAAGACCAGGAGTGGGGGTGGCAGGAGGTTCTGAGACCATGGTGGGTACTTGTTCCCAAGGACAGCAGACACTTGATCACACCTAAGTGACTCCCATTCTCCCCTAACCACACTCTAATGGACACAAGGAACCATGAGGAGCTGGAAAGAGCACTGGACTTCGAGTCAGGAAGCCCAGGGTCTAGTCCAGATCTATTACTAACTCACTGTTTTAATCGTAAACAGAGCAAATTGTTGTGGGATTACATGTTAAGTGTTATGCTAAGCCCCATGCATAGATGATCTTATTTAATTCTCACAAATCCATCCTTTTTAAAAAAAATTATATATATGTGATATATTTTTTATTGATTTTAGAGAGGAAGGGAGAGGGAGACATAGAAACATCAATGATGAGAGAGAATCATTGATTGGCTTCCTCCTGCATGCCCCCTACAGGGGATCGAGCCCGCAACCCGGGCATGTGCCCTTGATCAGAATCGAACCCAGGACCCTTCAGGCCGACGCTCTATCCACTGAGCCAAACCATCCTCTTTTTTTCCTTCTTCAAAGAAACTGAGGCTCAGAGAGGTTAACTGACCAACCCAAAGTCACACAGCTGGTAAGTGCTATGAAGCTGAGATTCAAACCAAGTAGTCTGGATCCAGAGCCCAAGCCCCTAACCATAGTCTCCAGTTAGTTCCACCTTCTAGGTTTCAGATTCCCCATCTGTAAACAAACAGGATTGGTATACCTGAACTCCAAACAGCCTTCCAGGCCTGACAGTCTGTGCTTTATTCAACAGTCACTGTATTGCCAGGCAGGGGCCGGGAACACAAAGCTGAGTAAGATCACCTCTGGCCTCAGGTTATAAACTCTTTGAGAGAAGAAATCACGTCTTAATTACCCTTGCTAGCCTCCCGCCGCTTACAGGCACTGTGCAAAGAGAAGGTGCTCAAAATATTTGTTGACTAAATGTGTGATTCACGGGGAGGAGCATGGGCTAGGGAGTTAGACGTAACTGAGGTCCCATCCTGTTCTGACCCTTGCAAGGGAAAGTCCCTTAATTTCTGTGCCTGTTTCTTTCTTCACCGAGTGGCAATGCGCAGGAGACCTTCCTCACAGGGTTGCAGAGAGGATAATGCATGGTAAGCACTTAGCATTGTGCTTGGCACATTAAAAACTGCTCAATAAATCTTAGTTCCTTTCCTTGATGGATTCTCCAACCTTCTTTTACCCTTGTCACTGGCTGGTAGGGAACATGCTGAACCCCTCTTTGTTGTCTCCCCGGTTGAAGCTGGGAACTAATTTCTACTGCTGGAGGCAGATAGCTGGAGGCAGATAGCAAACCCGCTCTGCCAGGTCCTGCGTGAGGAAGGAAGAAAACAGGTTCCCTGGAAAGCCCTCCCCTGGATTCTGATTCCCATGCAGCCCCTGCTCCTCTGTGGTGCAGATGTCCCCTCTGTCTAGACAGCTCTCCCCAGAAGAAATTGCCAACCACAGACGCTCTGATGACAAAGCGTGCCCCAGACACTAGTCCTCTTACACACAATTCATTCACCCTGTTCAGAAAAGAACAAGCCAGGCTCCCACCTCCTAAGCAGAGGGGAATCTAGGGGAGCAGGAGTGAATGGGTGGCTTCTTTTTCCATTAATTTATCCATCCATCCATCCATCCATCCAACCATCTTTGGGTGAATGTCTTCCATGTGGTAGGCATGGGGCATACCTAGATGAATAATACCCCCTTCCCTTCCCAAACTCATAATATTGGGGGAGATGGACACAAAAAAATAACTATGAAAGGTGTGGCCATTATACTGACAGGGAACACTCAGGGAGGGCTTACTGTGTGCCAGGCACAGTGCTATATATTTTAGATGCATGATTTCATCACCCCATGAAATAAGTACTATTATTGTTATCATTTTACCCATGAGCCAACTCTTGAAATTTAGATAACTTGTCCAGGGTTGCACAGCTACTGAAAAATCAGGATTCAAATTCAGTCTGATCCTTGCATCAGCACTTGCCATCAGACCTCTAAGGAGGGAATCACCACCTCCATTCAGGAGGAATGGGAGGGGCCCCACGGAACAGGGGATTTCAGAGCTGGGCCCTGAGGGATGAGTCATGCGAGACCAAAGAGGTATCAAAGATTCTGGAAATGAGTGGGACTCTAACCAACAGAAATGCGGTCCAGGACTTTCTGAATGGAAGGGAAAGCATGAGCCGGGTTTGAGAAGGCAGGGCATACAGCGTGGGAACACACGGGGAAGAGCCTGGAATGCCAGGATAAGGGACTTGGGACCTCTGCAGGAGGGAGTGAGGAGGGAAGTTCCTGCCCTACCAGTCTGGGCAGGGGCTCCCTATGCTTTAGGAAGTCTGCTCTAGTGACGCATGGAGAATGGCTTGGAAGGGACAGGAAGCTGACCTGGGACTTGCCCCAAGGTTTTTGGATTGTGGTAGCAGGGATGGAGATTGTGACGGAACGGTCGATGATGCCCTCGTGGATGTCAGAGTTCAGGGTACACAGAGTGCAAACTTGCCCTGTCCAATCATGCCACTCGCTTACTCAAAACCCTTCCCTGGCAGCCATAAAGCCCCAGGTCCTTCACTTGGCATTCAAGGCTTCACGAGCTGACCCCTCCCCCACCCCCCCCCAGCCTCATCTCGACCACTTTCCCCTACGCTAGCAGACATCTACAGACCAAATGCTCTCGGTAGCCTCTGTGCCTTCGCACATGCTGTTCCTTCTACCAGGGAACTTCTCTGCTCCCCTTCCCTCTGGTTTGCTGAGATGACTCCTATCCCCTTCAAGGCTCAGTGCGGGGGTGTTGCCCTTGCCCACCTCCCAGGTGGGGCATGGTTTCCTCTGAGCCCCTGAAGCCCCTGCTCCCTGGACCCAGCTTTTTGCTTAAACCAACTTTCCAGGGGCATTTACCACCTTGAACTGCTCTTGTTGTTCAATGATGTAAGTTTCGTTAGCCTGTGCTGAGGTGCTGCACATCTCTCCGATCCCTTGTTGCTCACCCCCGGTCAGGGCAGCTTCGGAGCTCTCATGTCTTTTCTGCGGGGACAGAGGCCCGGCGTGTCTATATTCACTCTGCCATGTGGATTTCCCTACTGCAGGGTCTCAGGCTGGGGCCCTGGCGGCAGCTGCAAACGCTTGCGCTGCGTGGCTAGGACCCCCTCCTCCTCTAGGACTGTTCACCTTGGGGTACCAGCAGCAGTACCTATTTTGGGAAATGCCTCCATTTGGCACTGCCTATTTCCTATTTGGGAAGAGAGCCCAGGGCCTGAGTAGAGTGAAGAAGGCCGAGAAGGGTGAGGCTGCACATAACTTTTGTCTGTTTGCCAGTGATTGATCTGCCTGGGGTTTGCACTAAGACGAAAAGAACCTTTGCATTATTAATGACCATCGATCACAGCCTCCCAGAAAAGAGAGATTGAGAGAGACGAAGGCTCCAGGCCGGTCATCAAACTGGTAAATCAAGAGGGTGAGGTGTAGAGAGGGGAGGGGAGGGCCAGTGGGTAGGGAATTTGTAGAGCAGGACACTGAGAAGAATGCCTGGAGGGGCTGCAGAGCTCCTGGTGTGCCAGGCGTTACAGAGCTGTGCGGGCTGCAGATAAACCAGCGGCAGTGGGTGCTGCTGGCCTCTGCTACCCCAGCTCACGAGACTTCACCAGAGCGATTGCCAGGGACAGAGGGGCACTCCACAGTGATAAAGCGGGCAATGCACCAAGGGCTCATAATGGCAAGTGCACTTAACAACACAGCTTCGACATACATGGAGTCCAAATTGGCAGCGAGCCTGTAAGGATAGAGGCCAGCTCCCCGGGAGCCCCGTGAAACCCGGACACCAGCCGTGCCCAGCGTGGTGCCTCTTCAGTGGGCACCTCTCATTGTTCCCCTTTGTGCTCTAGCCTCTCAACCCCGGTCCTCTGGAAGCAGGTAGATTCATCCCAGCACCCCCATACCTGCTGGAACCTGGGATCTGCCTCCCCTTACTTGGGATCTGCTGTTTGAATGAGGGAAGGAGCTGCCCCTCTGACCTTAGCTCCTGCCATTCACGCGGCCCCAGAACCCGCGGGCCACTGTCCCCTCGGGGCCTCCGTGCCTGTCCCTCATGGGAGCTGTTCCCCTACATTTCTGCAGGGCCCCTCCCTCTCCCCCTGTCTTTCTCAGTGAGACCTCCCCTGACCGCCCTGTTCAGTGCCCCCACCCCCTCACTCTCTATTTCCGCCCCCTGCTTTTTTCCCTCCACACCACTCAGCCCATAACCGTCCCTGAGTTTATGGGTCCACTTACCGCGTTCATTAAGCGCCAGTGGGTCCACTTCTGTTTTGTTCTCTCCTAGGTTCCCAGTGCCTCGAACATGCCCGATGCGCAGTGGGTTGATACATACCTGTTAACTGACGAAATAAAAAATCCCACTAGGGATGAACACAGGGGACAGGGACGGATGGGGGAAGCCACCAGGGTCTCCGGCCAGGGCCCACCTCCCACTGCCCTCTACTGCGGACCAGGCCCCCCGCTCTCCTACAGGTGGGGACTGGGGCGCCC